CATAACTCATGTCTGGTGGAGACCTGGATCTGCCCTGGAGGTTTTAAGAGAGATAACTCCTCCAGGGTAGGTAAAGGTACGTCACTCTTGACTAAGCACCTACAGTACAATTCTTTGCCTCTACCTATAACTCAGATGACAGCTGAACTCGGTTACTGTGCGCTCATGTGTGCGCGAGATCTGGTGACCATAGGGTGACCAGGCCTAACTTGGCTGCTAAGTAAGGATGATAGGATGTCATCATCCTCCTCTGATTGAGCATCAGGAATAACCATTCCCTCCACTCTCTCGGGGACTGGAATTACTGAAGGTAATTCCAGTTCTTCTCTTGCTACATAAAGTTTCAATTTATTTATATGGATGGTTCTTTCAACCTGGTCTTCAAATATACCCTTAATTATGAAATTTACTGGGCCTAATTTCTTAATAACTCTATAAGGGCCTCGCCATCTAGCTGCTAACTTCCTACTCTGATTGGCGGGCGCTGACTCGTTCATCCGCATCACTAGGCTTCCCTCTTTCACTCTTAATGGTTGTACCTGCTTATCATAATAATGGGCGTACCGTGTCCTTGCTTTCTTTGATGCTTCAGCTGCTATCCTCCATGCATTCTTCATCTTGGTGAGGATTTCTGAAAGATAATCCTCTCCATAACTAATAGTATGTCTGTTAAGCAGACCTGACGCAAAATTACACGAGTGTCCAGTAAACAGCAAGAGTGGTTGAGTATTTATTGACTGGTGCACTGCGGTGTTTAGTGCAAACTGAACAAAGGGCAACTGTTCATCCCAAGTGGCCGGGTCATTCTCTGCTAAAATGGCAAGCATATCCTTCACCGTTCTATTAGTTCGTTCCACCATGCCATTCGTCTGGGGATGGTATGCTGTTGTTAGCGCAGTTGTTGTTTCTAAGAGTTTACATACCTCCTGAAATAACGTACCAATAAACTCCTGTCCCCTGTCAGATACTAGAACTTTCGGCGGACTGAACACAGTAACAAACCTAGCTAAAACGGCCTCTGCCACTGTTTGGGGGTCTTTCCTGGGAAGGGCTACTAGAGTGGTATACCTGGACAAATGGTCCACTAGAACTAGCGCATATCTGTTGCCTGAATTGCTGCTATGTAAATCAATTAAATCAGCCCCCACCCGATCCAAGGGTTCTGCTATCTCTGAGAATTCCTGGAGTGGGGCTTGTACTTTAGGAGTACCTTTGCGTCGTTGACAGTTCCCACATGACCTGACGCTTGAACCGTGCTATCCACTTGGATAGCCTGTCTCGGTCTCCACATTTCAACTTCCACTTGATGTGAGGAATTATACAGTGTCATGGCTAAGTCCCCACATGCGGCCTCAGCCTGATCCTCTGAAAACCGTACTGCTTGAAGGTTCCGTTGGCTGAGCACTCCCTGACTCCTTAATGTCCTATCTGAACTCATGATGCCAATAAACTACGTCCGAACGACTAGTTCACCGGACTAGCGCTAAGAGTACTGGAAAATTAAGAACACTAGGTCACTGGGGCAAAGGGGACGGTAGGCCCAATATCACTAAGACAAGGAACCATTAATACACATTTTATAACACTTAATATATGACTTTATTTGAAATAATTAAATAAGACACTCCCTAACTATATTCCCTACTAAGGTAGTAGGGAATATACTATAGACACTCCCTAACAAACTTCTATAGACACTCCATAACTATATTCCCTACTAAGGCCAAGGGTACTGAATGAGGTGCTTTAGTACAAGAGATCCGTACTTACTCGTATGTTGTTCCACAGTTTTCCTGGAGATGATGTTCCTTCCCCGAGTCCACACACACACCTCCCTACTGGGCTGCGCCCACTCTACTGTCTGTCGCATGATCTCCTCCTCCTCAGCTGGACATGAGGGTTTTGCATTTGATGTTTAGGGGTTAATCCCTGAAGATTATAATGACGGCATCAACTCTGACCTCTTCATGATTCGATGATCGTTGACCTGACTCTATGGCTAACTTGTACAGAGGTGTAACTTTTACATTGTCTGCTGCCGCCTGATTGGCGCCTGTGGTTTGTTCATCCTCCACGCGGCTTGTTCATGCTGTTATGATGTTCATGTACTATGTACTGCTCTCTTGTTACACCCCGACCCCCCAAAGGGGGGAGGGGCCACCCAACGCCACCGCAGGCCGTGAGACACGACCCAAAAGGCCCACGAATCGTGGGACCAGGCACGGGCGAACAGTGCAAGCCGCCCCCCCATCGCCCCGTCAAGGGGGCAAACCGCGAAAAGGCCGGCGACCCTTACAAGACCCAGAACCCCGCACAGCGCGAACACCGCGCCGACCAGACGTGGGAGGGTCCGCAGGAGGAGCCAACCCCGAACCTGACACCAGAGGCCTTCCACGACTAGAGGAACCCCGAGCCCTGGCACGACCTTTCCGGGAAGACCCACCCCGGGACCCCCGGAAAACCAACAAGTCCGACATCGGACGACAAGCCGCCGACGCAGCCTGAATAAACTGTGCCACGGCGCAGTTTATTCAGGCTGCGAACAGAAGGGGAAGGACGAGGAGGTGCGGACTGAACCAGGATCGAAGCGACCCCCACCCCCAAGTCCGGGTCTCGAAAAGCAAAGCAGGGCAGCCCCGGGGCATCTGGGGAAGCAACCAACCGAGCGCGTTGCAACAGACGAAACCTAGACTGCAACGCACGCGCCGCCTGTACCCGAATAGAATCATCAGAGGATTGGGTAAATTGAGTCACAAGCAAGTAGCAACACTCACAGGACTCAGGGTCGAAAGTATCACCGACCCAACAGGCAGCGTGGCAGAGGCAAAAACAATGAGGGTCACCCTGAGACAAGGCGACCGAGCAACCCTCAAACTCGCACACAGCGAGTGGGGACTCCGGGGTCACATCCATCGGACCCACGCGCCCCCTAGGGGATTCCCAGGGTCCTGAGCGTTTACTTTAAGAGGACTCGCGCTCAGGTAGTCCCAGGCAGGGTGCTGCAAACCGGCACCCAAAACTACCAAGCAAACTTCTAAAGCTGAACCCCAGGGACGTGTACACTCATGGGGGGACCTAGCAGGGGGCACCACCGAGGAGAACAGTGGAAGGGCAAAAACAAACTGAATAAAATGACAGAACCCCCCACCAGGCAAAAAGAAAAAGAAAAAGAAAACCCCGTAAGAGGACAGCGAACCCCAAGGAACAGAGCCGGCCGCGATGTCGGGAAATACAAGCTGAGCTGCACCCTACGCCCCTACCAGTGCAAACTGCCTCTTACCTGCCGGTAACAAAGGAGAACAGAGCACCCAAGAGCCCAACAGGCGGCCAAAAAACCGAAAGGCAAAACGGACCAGCAAAGGCAGACCCCGAGGAGCCTGTGGAAGGTGGCCCCAAGCCCCAAGGGCAGTACTTACAGGGCACCTAGGGAAGGCAGCCCTAGGTGCATGCAGCCCGAGTACTGAAGATAACTCCTGGCTCTCGCACCCACAAAACCAACACCACACGCAAAGCACAGTGCAGTAGCGACACCGGAGCCAGAGCACACGACCATCGCCTATAGCCTCGCCTCAAGAACTGAGGTGTGGGTAGCCGGCGCGGGGGGTCTGGGGCTCCCCCTTCCCCCTCCCGGGGAGGGGGGAGCTGCGCAGACAGCGGCGTGGCGGTATGTGACGTCACACTTGTTTGCTTGTTTTCGGTTGAGGAGTTCTATCCACTAGTTCGGTTTTTGGTAGCAATTTTAACCAGAATAGGGGTTTGTTTTGAGGTGCTTACCTTTCTGGGTGCCTGTTCCGGTCGATGGGAGACATAGAATGCTTCCAACCACACGAGATCTGTGGAGGTGCGACTGCACCCTGCGACGGGAGATGTCTCCCGTGAAGGAGAAGGGAGAGAGAGAGAGAAGATTAAGCCACCCAAAAGGTGGCTTGGGCATGAATAGCCCATAAGTGGTGGCCCTTTTGAGCCATTTCCAGTATCAATAGATGATACTGGAGATCTGTGGAGGTGCGACTGCACCCTGCGTGACGGGAGATGTCTCCCGTGAAGGAGAAAGTGTGATGATTGAAGGAGAAGGCAATAAATAGGCAGAAGAGAGGTGAGGAGAAGAAAATCTTAGAGGAAGAGAAGGCAAGGCAAAGGTAGGGAAGGTAAGGTGTAATAAAGGGGATAGTAAGAATGAGAAAAACAAGAACACAAGAACAAAGATAACTGCAGAAGGCCCATTGGCCCGTACGAGGCAGCTCCTATTTATACCACCCAAAAGAAGGGGATAGTAAAAGGAATAAGAAGAGGAAATAGTAGGAATAAGCAAGAGATCATAAGAGAAAACAATGGAAAGATAAAGAAAGAAAAAGGAGAAGAAAAAGAAAGATAAATGGAAGTGTAAGCTTATGTTAGGTCACGTTTGTTAGAAAGTTTAGAGCATTTAAGCATGTGAAAGGGAAGAGTCAACAGCAACAAAGCCAGGACTCAAGTTCATGTTGGGTACGTTGTGTATTAGAGCCAATTCAACAAGACGGCATCTGTGTAGAGTAGAGAAGAGGCAGGAAAGATAATTTTGGAGGAAGACCAATCAATAGTATGATTAGAATCCCTAACATGACAGAAGAGAGTATTGTTTGTGTCTACTCGATATACTCGCCACAAAAGTCTAGTTCTAATTACAGTACAGTATTTTTAAGCATGTCAGTTCTTGGTGGTAGTAAAGAGCAGTACAACCACCTCTCTGATTTTATAACAAATCTCCATATTTTAGATAACAAATCAAAATACATTATGTTTATAGTGATACATAAATATCTTTATAGGGAGATAAAGCTACAGTGAATTAAAGACAAATTCAGACAGTCATTATAGTTGTGGCAACCAAATATCAGTAAGGTTAATGAAGGTTAACGTATGTTTTAGTATTTGGTGAATGCTAAGCCCAGATTAAGATTTATTTCATTACTTAATTTTTACAAGTGCAAATTTATAAGTTTTCCTTTTTTTCTGAACAGGCTTTAAAGGTGTGTCTGAAATTCATGATTGTGCGCCATCCATTTGAGCGACTGGTTTCTGCCTACCGGGACAAGCTCGAAAATGTGAACATTGGCAAGGAAAATGGTGTTGATCACTTCTATCAGAAGTATGGAAAGAAAATTGTGGCAAAATATCGGCCAGCAGGCCAAGGTCCTCCTCCAAATCGTTACTCTCAGGATATGGATGATCCAAACTTACCAGCTCCTAGTGGCATTGAACCAACCTTTGCCGAGTTTGTTAAGTATATAATTGATACAGATTTAATTCATTATGCAGATGACCACTGGATGCCATATTACCTTTATTGCACTCCATGTCTCATTGATTACGATGTCATTGCCAAATTTGAAACACTTAACCGAGACCAAAATTATATAATAGAAAAAAATCATCTGGAAAAGAAGATTAAACCATCTTGGAAGCATCTGACAAAAGGCAAGAAGACTTCAGAAACTGTTCAGAAATACTTTGCCACTATCACCAAAACAGAATTGACGAAGTTATATGAAAAATATAAGCCAGACTTTGAGTTATTTGATTATTCCGTTGATGAATATCTTCACTATGTTCAACAATCTTAATTCTAAACACGTGGGAAAGTTTTACGTGGGGTAAAAAAATTCAGGTGCTTTATACTGATGTACGCTTATAAATATAATCCTATTGTGGGAAAATATTTTAATAAATTTGTTTTTATTATATCCCCTGTGCTTAAAGGTGGGCAGACACAGTGACTGTGAGAGGTGAAGAGTGTGCTAACAGAGCATCTACATTACCTTTAAAATTTACACATGAAAAATATAGTTTAGCCAAAGTATGGACCAAGGCTACCTTGCAATGATTGAAGTCATTGTCATTTTCTCTTCTTTAATATGTGGGTTTAATTTTCATATGTTCTTTATTGATTTATGAAAGTAATGCTTTGCAACAATTTGTACAATTCAAAATTATTTACATAGCTCATACAGAAGAATAATCTGTTTTGCCAAATTTAATCTTCACATTATTGGCTTTGTTCATCAGCAGCATAACAGTTCTGCTAATGAGAAAAGAAACACATTCCAAAGTATTTTATTTTGATTTACTGAATATATGTGCACAAAGGTACAATGGGTATGTTATTTCAGATTTTTGTGATTAACTGGTACATTCTCACAAACCCACTAACACACGCACACGTTGAATGGAAGCTGGAAGACAGAGGAAGGGGAGGTGATGTGATCGCTGCATGCAAAGTAGTGACAGGAATTGATAAGGTCGATGGGGAGGATTTCCTGAGATTTGGGACTTTAAGAACAAGAGGTCATAGATTTAAACTAGCTAAACACAGATGCCGAAGAAAGATAAGAAAATTCACTTTCACAAACAGAGTGGTAGACGGTTGGAACAAGTTAGGTGAGAAGGTGGTGGAGGCCAAGACCGTCAGTAGTTTCAAAGCGTTATATGACAAAGAGTGCTGGGAAGACGGGACACCACGAGCGTAGCTCTCATCCTGTAACTACACTTAGGTAATTACACTTAGGTAATTACACAGTTTCGGGCAAGTCTTAGAAATAACACAATTCAGATTGCAGTTATCTCAAAACTGAAAAATATGAGTTTGATTCCCATACAAGGCAAAACATTCAGGTTCATTTCTTTACCTTCAAAAGGTCTCATGTAACACAAACAAGGAGCCATGGTTTCTAGCTCATTAAGCCACAATGTAGAGCAGAAAACAGCAGATACTTTTTCACCATTCACCCATAAGGTGTACTCACCTAGTTGTGCTTGCTGGGATTGAGCTTTGGCTCTTTGGTCCCGCCTTTCAACTATCAATCAACTAGTTGGTGTACAGGTTCCTGAGCGTATTGGGCTCCACTGTATCATATCTACACTTGAAACTGTGTTTAGAGTCTGCCTCTACCACATTGCTTCCTAATGCATTCCATTGATTAACTACTCTGACACTAAAAACATTCTTTCTAATGTCTCTATGGCTCATTTAGCCACTCAGTTCCCACCTGTGTCCCCTAGTATATGTGTCCATTGTGTTAAAAAAAATTGAATTTGTATACCCTATCAATTCCTTTGATAGGAATGTATCTTGTATGTGGTGATCATGCCCCCCCAACTTCTGTCTTTCAGCAACATGAGGTATAATTCCTGTAATCTCATGCCCTCAGTTTGGGCACTAGTCTGGTGGCAACTCTCTGAACCTTCTCCAATTTAGTCTTACGCTTAACAAGATATGAACTCCATGCGGGAGCTGCAAACTCCAGGATTGGTCTGACATACATGGTATACAAGGTTCTGAATGATTCCTTAAACAAGTTCCCAAAGGCCGTTCTAATGTTGGCCAACCTGGCATATGTTGCTGATGTTATCCTCTTGATATGGGCTTATCATCAGCAAGCATTGAGAGGAATAAGTCTATACCCCTCTAAAAGATCATTAACGTATATCAGAAACATAATAGATCCAAGTACAGAACCCTGTGGAACTCTGCTGGTGACTTCATGCCAATCTGAGTTTTCACCCCTCATAGTAACTCTCTGCTTCCTATTGCCCTTATCCACTGGAGCAGGTGTAGGGAACCATCAGTGTACATATATGGTTTGAGAGAATGTTCTGTGAACAGAGCATCAGTATGGTTTAAGGTGTCAAACTTTACCTCAAGACGAAACTTGGGCTGAAATTTATTGTGCTTCTAGGGTGGAAAGTGAAGGCTTCAAATTGGAAACGTAGTACTCTCCTATGGTGCAGGAAAGTGCCATTGTTGTCTCTCTTGGTACAAATTATAAGTCTGATACATCTTGAGTTCATTTCCCATTTTAGTTCTCCATTATGAACAATGTTGACCTTCAATAAAAAAGTTGAAGTAGCACTCTACCCACTCTACCATTGACAGCAGGGGTACCACAGTGCAGCATCTTGGGACCTTTCCTAGTTCTTATATACATCAATGATTTGCCAAATGTTTCTAACATTCTTAAACCTATACTACTTGCAGATGATACTACCTTCGTCTATTCTGACTCCAACCCCACACACTAAATAATAATGTCAACAGTGAATTAAAAAAAGTTAGATGTCAACCAACAAACTTACACTAAACATAGAAAAGATCTTCTACATTTTAGTTGGTAGAAAATCATCAAATCAGATTCAACTTCAGATAGACAATGTTAACATTATTAATAAAAATGAGGGGAAGTTCCTTAGCCTATACATAAACAAGAGACTGAACTTCAGCACCCACATACAACACATAGCCAAAAAAGTCTCAAAAATGGTTAGTATACTTAATAAAATCAGATATTATGTTCCCCACTCTACTCTCCTCCTATTATACTATGCACCAATCTATCCTTATCTTATATACAGTATCTGTGCATGGGGTTGAACCACTGCAAATTTCCTCAAGCCTATCATCACTCAGCAAAAATCTACTATCAGAACTATAACAAACTCTGTCTTCAGATAACAAACAACACACAGCCCCTCTGTTTAATCCCTTAACATGCTAAACATACACTCATTCCACACATTCTCATGTGCTATCTACATGTTCAAAACCTTGTTCCTAAATACTAATTTTGATCTGAAACTTTTCCTTGATAGGTATAACAGAACCCATAAGCATCACACCAGATATAAATATCTTGTTAATATCCTCAGAGTCAGACTAAATCTGTGCAAACCCTCTTATGCACATAAAAGGGCCCAGTCTTTGGAACTCACTTCCTGATGAATTAAACAATTATCCAACCCATGCCCTATTCAAAAGTAAAATACAAAGAGTACCTAATTTCATCCACATAGTTTCCTACCTTGTGCTTCAAACTCACACTGTATGTTTTACTACCCACTTCCCCAATATTAGTACTGTGGTTAAGACAATTATCCTTACCAGTGTAATCACCTCTGTCAACTTATGTTGTAGTTATTTGTTGATATAAAGACCTTACTACAATGTACCCTTTCATCTTACCTGATATGTTAGAGTAAGGACCTGCCTGAAATGCTGTACATGTTAGTGGCTTTGCATGAATGTAAAAATACCAATCTTACATAATCTCACCAACCTATTGTACAGTACCTTCTTCCAAATAAATTATTATTGTTATTATTATTATTATTATTATTATTATTTTTATTATTATTATTATTAAATTCTTGTGGGCTTCTGTGTAAGGGTAGGATAGGCTAGCCTAAGCATTTCTATCAATTTACTATCATGCAAGAAGAACCACACATCTATGAATCATGCAATAAAATTAGCATACTCTTAAATATTACTACTGCTTGGCTTAGGCTCAGCTAGAAAATACTGTACTTAAATAATTTTTGAATTTCATATTTCACCTCAGAAAATACAGCTGTACAATGTTTTATATGTAAGCAAACATAACATAACTTAAATCCCATAAGCATCACACCAGATATAAATATCTTGTTAATATCCTCAGAGTCAGACTATTACTTAAGCTTTGGACTTAAATAATTACGTAAGTGGTTGTGAAGTGATTACCTCAAAGGTTCAAACCCCCTAAGGACAGGTTGCAACACAAAGGTGTATGGTGAAAAAATATGAAAAATTTTGGGAACATGTCTGTAGTAAATTCTGTGTTCCCTAGAACACTGCAGAAATCAGAAAAAATGACAAAGGAACTGGTGGGAGACAACCGACCAGCCTAGCAGAGAAAGAAGAGACAAGCGCTCTCACTCCCTTTCTTTTTATTATTTTATTTTATTTTATTTTATTTTATTTATGCATATACAAGAATGTACATAAGGAATGTGAGGATACAAATATGGTAATTACAGTCTTGTAAAGCCACTAGCACGCGCAGCGTTTCGGGCAGGTCCTTAATCTAAGAAAATTTTAAGGAGGTAAATACTTGCAAAATTATAGACAAAAAATGATAACAGATTACATGAAATGAAAAAAAAGATGAGAGAAAATTGTAGGTACAGTATATTAAAGCACATAGGTAGCTAAGATTGATTGCAATGACAGCTTGAATGGTAGTTGACAAAAAAATTGGTAGGCATAATACAGCAGAAACAATATAAGATTGGTTGCAATGACAGCTTGAATGGTAGTTGACAAAAATTGGTAGTCACAATACAGCATATGGCTAGCACATAAAGAAGACAGCAATGAACACAATGATAAGGTTGTTTGAAATTACATAAAAATTAGGAGATTGGGTAACACTAGGTACAGAGCAAATTTAAAGCTCAGTGTAGGAAACTAAGAAGATGAAGTTAGGTACTTTTTGGTTTTGCTTTTAAATAAGGCAAAAGTTTTACAGTTTTTCAATTCACTAGGGAGTGAGTTTCATAAACTAGGTCCCTTAATTTGCATAGAGTGTTTACACAGATTAAGTTTGACCCTGGGGATATCAAAGAACCAGCGTTGAATGTAATGAAACGCCATTTTCTGGGTGAGTCCCGGAGGCTCCCCGGAGCTATCCCAGGCTGATATGCTAATGTCAGACTTTGGCATCAGTCATGTGTATGGAGTTCTTAGGCCTACCGGGGACCACGGCCAGAACCGGGCCCCCTCAGAGAGGCAAGGGGAGCAATGGCCTATAGAAGCCCCCGTGTAGTTGGAAGCATTCTATGTCTGCCATCGACCGGAACAGGCACCCAGAAAGGTAAGCGCCCCAAAACAAACCCCTATTCTGGTTAAAA